GGTTAAAGAAAATTTTAGTCACTTTCACATATTTCACTCACTTACATCAAAGGTAGAAACTGTGTGGATAAAAAGAAGTAATGTAAATTGAAGAACACAGAGAAATGATCAGATGACTGACAGGAAAAGAAATTTATAAGACAGCAGCCTAACTACCAATTCTCTAAAGATTGTCATTTATTAAGGAGAAATAATAAAATATGAAAAGACATTGAAAATAAAAATTCAGAGTGTGGAATGTCATGTTAAATGAACTCTGAAAACAAACCTTACTATTTACTTTTGAAGGGTACTTTACCTTAACTCCTTAAATTCATCAAGTGATTTTAATTCAGCACCTCCAGCTGATTCAAGATATAAAGCTTTAAAGAATATCTAGACTAATTTCACCAGTAATATGAAGAAATCTGAAGGAAAAATTTTTTTTAATTTTAAGTGGAGTATTAAAATATCAGTAGAGCTACTCCACTCCACATCCCTTTGATAAGATCAATGATAATTTAAATCGATAATGTCATTGTGTGTAGCACAGCCACAGTATTTGTATCATACCATTGCACTTTTTACTTGCACAAAAAACTTATGACATCAGCACCTACTGTATGATAGAAAAAGATTCTGAAGGTGTGTGAAGCTTGAGTCCTGACCCTGTCACTAGCTCTGCGATCCTAAATGAGCTACTTATTCTGAGGAAAAAACATTCAGTGAGATTTCTGAGAGGATAGTGAGAGTACAGCGAGAATCAAGTGATATAATATACATAATGCCCTTTGTAGATTAATATATTGTGCTGAAACTAATAATTCTATTCCATTAAATTACCAAATCAAAAGACAATTCCTTATTTTCATTTATCTCTGGTACCTACTGGGCAAGGATATTGAGTGACATTCATAACTACTCCAAACAAACATGTCCAGGCTCAGGCAGTTTCTAAAATGAAGAAGAATTAGGTGGCGGGAATGTTGCAGGCTTCCCTGGATTCTCAAGTCTAGCACTGCCTCCTCTGGACCCTGCAGACCAAAGGCCACCCAGGGCCCAATTGTTCTGAGTTGTACCTGGCAGAGGAGACTACCAAGAACAGAATCCAAGGAATGGGGGCTGCCAGACAAGGCACTTTGGAACACCAAAGCAGAGGCAAGTAAGAAGGATGATGTGGGTGGAGAGTAGCAAGCACAATAGGCCAGTGCCAGGGAGTGACTCATGTTTCATGGGCAAAATTCAGACATTGGGTGTTAAAAAGAACAGTGTCTTTATCATGTCTCCATTTTTTCATGATCTTATTTGCTAACAGCCTGAAAATCAATAGTCAGATGGGAAATATTTCAGTTGAAGAAAAATAAAAGTAACCATTTATCTGAGATATAAACATCTTCATATAAAAGAAGCTAGATATATGTTTCACCCAAACTAGACATAGCTAGACACAGAGATTAGCACGAGATAGACAGATACAGACTTAAGAGATCCAGATAATTCTTACATCTGTCTAGCCTCTCAAGTAGGTATTAAGAAACACTGCACCTCGATAGAGTTCAAAGTTCAATTCTCTCACCCTTCAGGAACTAACATGAAAATGAAAAAAGTAATTTCAGTTCCCCAAATCTCAATATCTACAAAGGAAGTTAACCTTAGGCAGTAATTTTGTTTTGACTGTAAATCATCCTTAATTATCATCTTAAGGCTCCTTTTTAAATATATCTAAGATATGTAACAAATTTCTGGGTTTCCTACAGTGCAGATTCTAAGATTCACTTTTACATTCATTTTATATGAAAACAGTTGAGAAGTATAGATTTAAACTTATAGGGGAATCCTAAAACATCACTCTTTAGATAATACAATGTGTACTACAACTAAAGAAGGTTAGAAATCTGTCTTCAAGTTTAAAAAAAAAAGAAAAACTTAAACCTATGAGAGTTTGCCAGTAACTTCATTTTATTAATTTAATTATTATTAGTTCTATTACTGTTCATTATTCCTCTTTCCCAAACTATTCACAATTGTGTCATCTGTAGGACATGCTGTACATTGGGAAGATTCTTAGAATAATTTTATTTAAGCACTGATGAACTAGCCATCTAGCCAATGTCAGAATGAAACCTCAATCCATTATTATTCCCCTCCCACCACCATCCATATTCTGTCAACCGACTGTATAAAGTTACTTCTTAAATACAATTAGGGAGCACACAGTTGGCCCTCTTACACCGTTAACATTTGATAATGATTTGAAAACGGCTTCCATCTTAAAACCACAGTCAGCGGTTTGTCAGGACAAATCTCAGAAATAACCCAGAACTCTGGGTATAGAATATTAATAGAAAAACACCTATTTCCATTGAGAAGGGGAAATGGGAGAAATGAAAACAACTCCTTTACCTGCTGCACACTAGCGACTCTCATATACGAGTCCAAGACGATCAACAGAGGCACGTGGACATTTTTTTCTTGAAATAACTTGGAGGCTGGAAAAGAAGGGGGTTAGGGAAAAGTAGCAAAGTCACGATTCATGGCACCCCTTTTAAGTCTGAAAAGGAGGGAGAAAACAAAAGAAGTGAGCTCAAGACCTTCCTAGAATTGTCAGCTCTTTTCTGCCCTAAGGAGTAGAGAGTTTGCGGCTTCTCAAGAATCCAGGTTTGTGCGGCCACAAAGTTCGGGGGGAGAAAGTTTGTAAAAATGGCCGGGGGGGAAGGAGGGCCGGGGCGGGGGGCGGTAAAGGGACAGTTCCCTGGCAAACGATTACCGTGGTCGGCGTAAGTGAACACGAGCATATCCTCCAGGATTTGGACCAGCGTCTCTATCTGTTTTCCTTCCTGGACATTGTTCAGCCTGACTATCAACTTCTTCAGAGTTTCCTCATCCTCCTCCTCGCAGTCCTGGCAGCTGCCACTGGCCATGACCGACCCTGCTTCAACCCGGCCGCCCCTCCCGCACCAAGGACGGCCGCTCCGGTCAGAAGACGAGCCCAGCTCACCGCCCGCAGCCAGCGCTCCCGGCTGACCCCATCTGCACCCACGCCCGCCCATTTATGCGAAGGCGGCGGCTCCGCGTCCGGCGCCGCCCTCCCCCGCCCGCTCCCTTTCCTCCTCTGCTTCCCCCTCCCCCACCCAGGGCCAAAACACAGCTCTGGGGCCTGCGAGAGGTTCAGCTGAGGGGCGGTGCCCGCAGAGCCGTGGCAGGCGGGCAGGACGCAGCAAAAGCCTGCCCGGCCCGGGTGACAGTGGCCGTGGCCCCCGCGCCGGCCGAGACGGGACCCCGGGCCGGCGCAGCCTCCCGAGTCCGGATCCCGCTCTCCGCAGCGGCGCGGCCGGGAGTCGCGCAGGAAGAAACCGACTCAGCGGACTCCGCCAAGTGCCCAGTCCCCGGGCCCTGCAGCGGCCGGCGAGGCGCGCGGTGGGCACCGCGGCCCACGCGCCCCGACCCACCAGCCTGGACTCCTGCAGCCCCGCGGAAGGTCTGGGAACTAGGAAGAAGAAAAATAAAAGCTGCCGTGGATCTCCAGATCTAAGAATAGAAATCGGAGCGTTGGGAAAAGAGGGAGACGCCCAGTTGGCCCCTTTTAGGAAAACATTCTCTTTATAGTTACCACTATAGGGAGATGAGTAATTTCCCCCCAAGGATGGACGAAGATTTAAGCAACCAAAATGTACCCAGTTAAATGCTTTTCTATGGTTGCTGTGGCTGTTTGTAGGGAAGGAAACAAAAACATTTTTCCTGTTAGTTATCTGGAAGCTCTGCTGGACAAAAGGCCACTAAAATTAGCTTTTGAAAATTTGAGTTTCAGTTCAACGTGCAATTAAAACTAAAGAGAGGGCTTCCCTGGTGGTGCAGTGGTTAGGAATCCGCCTGCCAAGACAAAGGACACGAGTTGGAGCTCTGGTCCAGGAAGATCCCACATGCTGCGGAGCAACTAAGCCCGAGCGGCCACAACTACTGAGCCTGAGCTCTAGAAACCATGAGCCACAAATACTGAAGCCCCCTGCCCTAGACAGCCCGTGCTCTGCAACAAGAGAAGCCACAGCAATGAGAAGCCCGCGCACCGCGGCGTACAGTGGCCCCCACTCACCGCAACTGGAGAAAGCCCGCGCAGCAAGGAGGACCCAATGTAGCCAAAATTAAATTATTTAAATTAATTTATTATTTTTTAAAAACTACAGAAAAACACAAGATAAATGAAATGAAGAGGTGAGAGATACAAACCTAAACATTGTTCTCTTGGTATTCAAAATTACTAAAGTGTTAAAAAAAGAAAAATACCACAGTAATGTGTTTTTTGCAGTAAGAGAAACCTGAGCAAGAAAAACTAAAGACAAGGCTGGACAAAGATAATCTATTACCTTCAGAAGATCTCTTCTGGGATGGCGGCAGGGTGGGGGTGGGGGGGGAATCATTCACAACGGAGAAGATTGGACTGGAAGTTAGATCCTTTTATTTCACTTCTGTTAACCAATTCTGATGACACTTCTGAAATGGATAAGACAGCTACTTATCCTTTTACTGATGAGGAAACGGAATTTAGAGTCGATAAGAGTCGATAAGAGAAGAGCATTGTTGGTGTCACAGAACTTGAGAACTTGAGAGTCAGGACTTAAATGCAGGTAGATCTCCTAACCCTAAATTGAAGGCTGTTTACACTCTACCACTTTAATCAAAATGAGCTAGGCTTGGGCTTCCCTGGTGGCGCAGTGGTTGAGAGTCCACCTGCTGATGCAGGGGACACGAGTTCGTGCCCCGGTCTGGGAAGATCCCACATGCTGCGGAGTGGCTGGTCCCGTGAGCCATGGCCGCTGAGCCTGTGCGTCCGGAGCCTGTGCTCTGCAACGGGAGAGGCCATAACAGTGAGAGGCCCACGTACCGCAAAAAAAAAGAAAGAAAGAAAAAAAAACAGACATTGCTAATTACAGTAAATTACCAAAACAAATTCCAGATGAGTTAAAAAGTTAAATGAAAATAACTAAAAAGAAAATATAAATTAACAGTTATTTAATTTTGGTATGAGGAAACATAAAAACTACAGAAGATTGGTGTATGTAACTCCATAAGAATTCTAATTTTCTGCAGTCAAGGAAAACAACATAAATAAAACTAAAAGGCAAATGGCATACTGTAAAAAGAAAAGTTGCAATACATATGACAAAAACAATTAGCATTAATCTTTTAAAAGTTCTTACAAATCACTGGATGGGAAATGACAAGCCACAGGTGCCCCAGAAGAAAAATGGATTAAAGTTTTGAACTGGAAATTCACTGTGAATGGACAATAACTATAAGGAAAGTATATTCATAACTATACAAAAATTGTGTTCCTAAATATCAGTAACACATAGTTATAAAATTCAATTTTCTGTGTGTATCAGTGCATAATAACAACAATGAGAAAGAGAGAGAGAACTTGGGAGTAGACCTAAGAAAGTATTTTTAAAACCTCTATGAAGGGGCTTCCCTGGTGGCGCAGTGGTTGAGAGTCCGCCTGCCACTGCAGGGGACACAGGTTCGTGCCCCAGTCTGGGAGGATCCCACATGCCGCAGAGCGGCTGGGCCCGTGAGCCATGGCCGCTGGGCCTGCGTGTCCGGAGCCTGTGCTCCGCAACGGGATAGGCCACAGCAGTGAGAGGCCTGCGTACTGCAAAAAAAAACCTTTATGAAGAAATTATTAAACTGTATTAAAAGGCATTATTAGCAAGGTATAAATGAGTGAATAGGCCATATCAATTAATGAAAAGATTAAATATCAAAAAGATGCCAATGCCCCCACAAAGTAATAAAGAAACAGTGCAAGGCTAATGAAAATCTAAGCAAAAATAATTTTTTTTTTCAGCAAGAGTGAAGGGCCTGGAAGAGACAAGACACCTTCGAAGAAGGACAAAGCAGAATTGCCCAATCAGGCATTGATTCAGGGCTTCTGATAGCCTTTATCAATTTTCCAGAGGAGGAAAAAGTGCCTGACAATGTCTTCCTGTGAATTAGAAAAATGTGCACCTCCTTCCAGGCAGACACAGCACTGTGCCAGGGTGCACAAAGCAAGATTTAGATTTCAGACTCCACCCATCCTTTCAGCCTCGTGTCCTAATGCAGGGCATAACCTCTACAACATAGGAAGCAGTGCGTTCAGTCTTATTATGATGCTATAATAACCGGCATGTTTCTGGTACTGTGCAAAAAGAATCAATGAAAGAGTTAGAAACCAGAAACATACCGTTATATATCTGGAAATTTTATGAGAGATGTTGCATTGTGTACCAGTGGGAAAAGAATAGATTATTTGATAAATGAATCTGAGACCATTGGTTGTAGAAAAAAACGCAAATCATACCCTTACCTCATGCCATATTAAAAAATAAATTCCATGCTGGTTTGAACAATTTTATATGAAAAATGTAACTAAATGTTTTGAATGTTTTGAGGAGGAAATGACCTTTTGAAGACCTTAAGATACAGAAAGACAAGACATAATCATCACAGTCCATAAAGGAAAAGATTGTTAAAGTACATTAAAATTTAAAACTTCATACAAAGACTCCATCAACAAAGTTAAAAGATGACCACAGGCTGAAAATTTTTTTCAATGCATATAACCAAGAAAATATTAATAAGAAAAGGTAAAAAGAACTATCATAAATCATAAAAGAAAGGCTAGTTTTTATATAACAAAAGATATAAAAGGCATTAACAGAAGAGAAAATGCCATTTAAACCTGATGCCCAACCCCACTAAAAATAGAAGTGCAAATTAAAGCCATAATGAGATATGATTTCACACCCCTCAGATTAACTAAAAATGTAAAGTTTGATAATGCCAGTGATTGGCTGGGATATGGAGGAACTAGAACACTTATACACTACTGGTGAGAGTATAAATCAGAAAAATCACTTTGGAAAGCAATATGGAAGTATCTAGTAGAGCTGAAGATGTAAGTATTCTGTGACCCAGCACTTTCTCTCCAAGGATATTCCTTAGAGACAGTCTCACATATGCATAGAAAATTCATATTAAAACGTTCAGTTCGGCATTTTTTGCTTGTAATGAAAATGAAAACCACTTGAATATCTATCAACACTTACATTTCATATATTCATATAACAGACATATAAATCTGTGAAAATTATTGAACTAGAGTTTCATGTATCAACATGACTAAACAGCAAAAAAATATAATACCTTTTTAAAAGTTCCAGTAGTATATACATCCGACTGGGATATCAATCCTCTAATACTAAACATGCAAAGTTCCATAGGAAAAGTATAAAAATTATGCATGGGACTAATGAATTCTAGCTAGTGGTTAACCTCTGGGGAGAGGAAAGTAGAAATGCATCCAGGAAGAATACACTGAAGGCTAGAATTGTATCTGTAATTTTTTTTCTTAAACTTATTATTGGATACATGGATGTTCATTACATTGTTATCTATGCTTTGTATTCCTAACTTATTTCATAATAAAAATAATTAAATGTATTTTCAACTTCACTGGTACTCAAAGTAATAAATAAAATATAAATGAATTCCTTTCATTCATCAAATTGGCAAAGAACTCCTTGAAATTTGTTTGGGAGTTAGCATATGAGGAAATAATAAATTATTAATAATATATAGAAGTTGGACATAAAATTACAGAATTTTGATCCAAGTTTTGCAAAAATAACCAAAAAAGTATATGCCTAATAAACTACTGAAAGTAGATAAGATAAACACATGTGTAACAGGGGTTCCTGTGAGGTCATAGAATTATAAGTGATTTTTATGCTTCATGTATTTTTCAAATTTTTCACAGCAAATAATGTACTATAATAAGAAATAAGGCAAAGAAATTTATAAAATACAAAGTTTATAAGTAGAAAACTTATTTGGAGAATATAACTTACCACACTAATAAATATAAAATATTTTACATGGCACAAGCCAAACAGGAAAATTCAAACTGAATTGTAGCAGACTCCCTGGATATA